GCATACAGCAGGTTCCTGTGAGAAGCAGGAATCTACAGAAGGTTCCTATGAGATTGAGTCGATGGCAGGTTCCTGTGAGAATATGGAATGTACAGAAGATTCCTGTCAGGATATGGTATCAACAGCATATTCCTGTGTCAGGAGATTAGGCATGCAGCAGGCTCCTGTGGGGAAATGTGGTCTACAGCAAGTTTCTGTGTGAAGATTTGGGATATACAATAGGTTCCTGTGTGAGGATATGTGTGAAGATTCCTGTGTGAAGCGTTGAGGTACACAACAAGTCCTCTTAGGAGATGGAGTCCACAACAGGTTTCTGCATCAGGAGATGGGGAATACAATACATTCCTGTGAGGGGATGGGATCTACAGCAGTTTCCTGTGAGGAGATGTGGCATATAGCAAGTTCCTGTGTGAGAAAATGAGGTCTACAACTGGTGCCTGTGTCGGGAGATTGGGCCTATAGTAGATTCCTGAGTGAGGAGGTGGGATCTACATTAGAAACATGTGTGAAGGGATGCGGTATACAGCAGGTTCATGTGAAGAGATGTTGTCTACAGTAGGTTCCTGTGAGGTGATAGGGTCTATGTCAGGTTTCTGTGTCAGGGGATGGGGCCTACAGCAGGTTCCTTTTGAGGAGATGAGGCATACAATGAGTTCCTGTGAAGAGAAGGTTCCTGTTAGAAGATGGAGGTCTACATCAGGTTCCTATTTCAGGAGATGGCTCTACAGGGGGTTCCTGTGTCAGGAGATGGTGTCCACAGCAGTTTTCTTTGTGAGGAGATGGGGTCTACAGCAGGTTCCTGTGAAAAGATGGGGTATACAGCATGTTTCTGTGAGCAAATGGGGCATTGAACAGCTTCCTTTGTGAGAAAGTGGGGTCTATAGTAGATATCTATGTGAACAGTTGTATACAGCAGGTTCCTGTGAAGAGACAGGGTCTACAGCAGGTTCCTCTGAGGTGATGGGGTTCACAATAGCTTCCTGTCTGAGAAAATGAGGCATAACACAGTTTCCTGTGAGGATATGGGGTCTACAGAAGTTTCCTGTCAGAAGATGGTGTTTACAACATATTTCTTTGTGAGGAGATAGGGTTTACATCAGGTTCTGTGAGGAGATAGAGCACACAGTAGGTTTCTATGTGAGGAGACAGGGTCTACAGCAGGTTCCTCTGAGGTGATGGGGTTCACAATAGCTTCCTGTCTGAGAAAATGAGGCATAACACAGTTTCCTGTGAGGATATGGGGTCTACAGAAGTTTCCTGTCAGAAGATGGTGTTTACAACAGATTTCTTTGTGAGGAGATAGGGTTTACATCAGGTTCTGTGAGGAGATAGAGCACACAGTAGGTTTCTATGTGAGGAGATGGGGTCTACAGCATTTCCTGTGAGGTGGTGGGCTCTATAGCAGTTTTTTGTGTCAGGAGATGGTATTTGCAATAGATTGTTTTTGTGAGGAGATAGAGTCTACAGCAGGTTCCTGTGAGGAGATAGAGCACACAGCAGGTTCCTGTGTGAGGAGATGGGGTCCACATCATTTCCTGTGAGATAATGGGGTCTACAGCAGTTTCCTGTGTCAGGAGAAGGTGTTTACAGCAGGGTTCTCTTTGAGAAGATCGTGTCTTCAGCAGGTTTCTGTGAGGACATTGGGCATATAGCAGGGTCTTGTTTGAGGAGATGGGACATACATCAGATTTCTGTGTGAGAAGATGGGATCTACAGCAGGTTTCTGTGAGGTGATGGGTCTGCATCAGATTCCTGTGAGGAGATAGGATATACATCAGTTTTCTGTTTCAGGATATGGTTTCTACAGGAAGTTTCTCTGTCATACGATGTTATCTCCAGCAAGTTCCTGTGTGTGGATATGTGGTCTGCATCAGATTTCTGTGAGGAAATGGGGCATACAGCAGGTTACTTTGTGAGGAGATGGGGTCTATAATAGGTTTCTGTGAAGTGAGGTGTCTATAGCAGGTTTCTGTGTGAGGAGACTATGCCTATAACAGGTTTCTGCATCGGGGGATAGGGTCTGCAGCAGAATCCTAAGGAGATAGGGTGTACTGTGATTTCCTCTGAGGAAATGCTGGCTACAGCAGATTCCTGGGAGGCATTGAACATGTTCCTTTGAGGATATGGGGTCTTCAGCAGATTCTATGTCAGAATATGGGGTCTACAGAAGTTTCTTTTGAGGAGATTTTTTTCTGATGACTCCTTGAGGAGATGGGGGTCTAAATCAGGTTCCTGTATGAGGGTACACAGCAGGTTCCTGAAGAGATGGGGTATACAGCATGTTTCTGTTAGAAAATGGGGCATTTAACAGGTTCTTGTGTGAGGAGGTGGGGTCTACAATAGATAGCTTTGTGAGGATATGGGGTATACTGCAGGTTCCTGTGAGGAGATGGGGGTCTATGGCAGATTCTTTGGTCAGGAAATGGGGTCTAAAGCAAGTTCCTGTGAGGAGATGGGGCATACAACATGTTCCTCTGAAGTAGTAGGGTATACAGCATGTTCCTGTGAGGAGATAGGGTATATATCAGGTTCCTGTTTCAGGAGATGATTTCTATAGGAGGTTCTTATGTCATGAAATTGTGTCTACAGTAGGTTGTGTCTGAGAGTATGTGGTCCACATCAGGTTTCTGTGAGGAAATGGGGCACATATCAGGCTCCTGTAAGGAGATGTTGTCAACAGAAGTTCCTGAGGAGATGGGGTATTAGCAGCTTACTGTATGATATATTGAGTCAATTTCATATTCATGTGTGAGAAGGTGGGGCACATTGCAGGTTCCTCTGAGAAGATTGGGTCCACAGCAGGTTATTTGTGAGGAGATGTGGCATACCACAGCTTCCTGTGATTAGATGGAATCTATAGCAGTTTCCTATATCAGGAGATGGTGTTTATAGCAGGTTCCTGTGAGAAGATGGGGCACACAGCTTGTTCCTGTTTGAGGAGATGGGGCATGCAGCAGGTTCCTTGGTGAGATGTGGTCTGCAGCAGATTCGTATGTGTGGAGGTAGGTTCTACAGCACTCTCTTGTGAGATGGGCATACAACAGGTTCCTGTGAGGAGATGGGGCCTACAGCAAGTTTCTGTGAGGAGATGGGGCCTACAGCAGGCTCCTGCGTGCGGAGATGGGCTGTACAGCAGATTCCCTTTAGGAGATGTGGTCTATAGCATCTTGTGGAAAGAGATAGGGTATACAGCAGGTTGCTTTGAGTGAATAGGGCATACAATGGGATCCTGTGTGAAATGGTGATGTAACTCCTTTATGAGGAGACGGGGCAGACAACAGGCTCCTTCAAGGAGATGGGGTTTAAAGTAGGTTCCTATGTGAAGAGATGGGCGTACAGCAGGTTCCTGTGAGAGGTGAAGGGGCACGCAGCGGGTCCTTTAGTGAGGGGGTCTGAAGATATTCCTGTGAGGATCAGGGTTTTGATGGTGCCACAGCATTTGGGTCATGAGCCTGCCCTTCTGTTCACTGTCCATCTTGACACATTAGGACCGAGTTTTCTTTGAGGAGCCCTTCACTGCCTGTGTGCTAGCAGTGTTGGCAGCCTCCGGCCAGCCAGGTCCCTGCCCCCACATAAATCAACACGAGCATAGATTGCAGGGCTGCTTCCAGATGACACTGGGTTTCTGGGACTCCCTGGCAGCTGCCATGTGTGATGGTTTGTTTGAAGAGGCTGGGGAAGAAAAATTGCTGGCCATAATAAACAGTTGGTCACGCAGCGCAAGTGGAGTGTGTGATTTGAGCCTGTCCCTGCCAGATGTGCGAGTGGCCATGTGTGTCCGGGATGAACTTCCCTCCGACGTGGCCAGGCTCGCTGCTCACCACACCCCTCATTTCCTTGTGGGAAGGCCTATCGAGGAGGAGCATACATGCTGGCTCTCCCTGGGGGCTGCTCTCGGGGGCTGAGGCCCCCTCGTCCTACGGGCCTCCCCGTGGCCCCTGCTGGGGGCTGGGGCCCCTGGGCATCTGGAGGCTGAGGGGGGCAGTGGGAATTGGCCACCATCGGCTGGACACAGACACCCTCCAGAGAGCAAAATAAGGGGATGTGGAGAGCAGCCCGGAGCCACAGAGCCACGTAATCTGCTTCGCCTGCAATGTTGTGTTTCCTTTGCTGCGGATCATTCTTTCTCTGGGAGGGGCGTGGTGGCTTCCCAGCGGTGCTTCTGGCCGGATCTCCTCCCGCGGCCCTCAGCAGCTCTGTAAGCCCTGTGGCTCTGTGTCAGGAGACCGTGTGGTGCGGGGTCTGGCATGGCCTTGTGCGGGTGACCCAGCGGCTCCTGGCTCCGTCTGCTGACGTGGCTCTGGCCGTTGCTGAGGGGGAAGCCTTCTCGGCAGACCCTGCTGGAGATGCGTGCAGGGCCCGTCCCCTGCAGGGCTTCCGTCAGCGTGTGTAGGTGACGGAGCGAGACGCTGGCCTGCCCGTGCGGGTGAGGGGCCCAGAGGCTTCGTGAGGCCTGCTGGCGGGAAGGCCAGCGAGAGCCTGGACGTGCAGGCTCCAGCCTTAGAGCGAGGCAGATGGACGATGCTGTTTTCTCTGGCAGCTCTTCCCGGTGGCTGAGCCCCAACCGCTGCCGCCGACTGGGCTTCCCCACGAGCAGGCGCCTGCCCCTTCCGGCCCGCTAGCCCGCTGGTGGGTGGTGACGCAGGGCGCCAGCCGCAGTGTGGGGTACGCTGGCAGGGCCAGCCCACTCCGATGCCATGTAAGTGCAGCACGGAAGGACGCACTGTGGCCCTGGAGAAGAGCCGAGTCCTGCTGCGGGTGACTCCGTGGCCCACACAGGACCTGCGGGGCAGGCGAGCTCGGAGGGCTGCCGTGTCCAGGGGGCTCTGAGGCACTTTCAGATACACAGCAGCTTGTCATTCGCGCCTTCCCCTCAGCCTTCGCCCCCTGAAAGCTAGGCTGGGAGACACCCGAGAATCCCTCATGGCCAGTCTGCCCGTGGACGCGGCCAGTCCACCCCCCGCCCCGGGCTGCACGGAGACCCAGTGGTTCTGTTGCAGGCTGTCCCGGCGCCAAGAAGAACGAGTTCCTGACCAGTGTCCTGGACGCGCTGTCCACAGACATGGTCCATGCCGTGTCCGACCCTGCTGCCCCTGGCAGGTGCATGCCCTACCCCAGAGGGGAACCGGAGCTGGGAGGGTCCCCAGGTCTCAGCCACACTGGGACACACCCCAGAGCCTCGGAAAGGCCTCTGCATCTCCCCCTCCCCATGCCTCTCCTCCCTCCCTCTCAGTGGGCCCGTCCTCCCTTCCCTCCCCTGTAGGGACCCCGCCCCTCCCTCCTGCCTGCCTCCCTCCCCTTCCCCCCCTGCCCTCCCCTCATGCCCCATGCAGCCCGGGGTGTCAGGGAGGGGGTGGGGTCTCCTGGCGCAGCAGGTCCCACTGCGCTCGTGTCTCTGCAGGCAGCCGGAGCCGGACCCCAGCCACACGCTGGAGGAACGCGTGGTACGCTGGTACTTCAAGGTGCTGGACAGGAACGGCAGCGGGGACATCGGCAAAAAGGAGATGAAGCCCGTCAAGCGCTTCCTGCGGAAGAAGGCCAAGCCCAAGAAGTGCGTGAAGAGATTCGTGGAATATTGCGACGCCAGCAACGACCGGGCGCTGTCGCTGCAGGAGCTGATGGGCTGTCTGGGCGTCAGCAGGGAGGAGGGCAGGGCCAGCGCCAGGCGGCTCCCGAGTAAGTGCCTGTCCTGCGCGGGGGCTGGGGGCCCGCCTCACCTCTGGATGCTCCACCGAGCCTCTCGGGGCTCCGGCTTCCTGGTCCTGTGGGCACCTCACGCCACACCCGTAGGGAGAGTGTTAGGGCCGTGGCACCTGGGACTCTTCTCAGGCACCTGCTTTCGCTGTGCTCTCGGGATGGAGCACCAGCAGGGGTGGAGCACTCAGCACAGGGAGTGACACCAGGAGGGGGGAGCACAAGGAGGGGGGATTGAGCACCAGGAGGGGGAAGCACCAGGAGGGGGAGCACCAGGAGGGGGGATTGAGCACCAGGAGGGGGGAGCACCAGGAGGGGGAGCACCAGGAGGGGGGATTGAGCACCAGAAAGGGGTAGGATACCAAGATGGGGATGGAATAACAAGGTGGGTCGGAGCACCAGGAGGGACTGGGCACCGTTTCCTTCCTGCCACCCCCAGTCACCGGGAGAACCACCTCCACCCCCTGTTTCTGCTCCCAGGGGTGAGAGTGGCCCTGGTCTCTGCACCCACTCAGGACTTTGGTTGTGGTCACCAGCTCCTGAGATGCTGCCACCACAGGCAGCTCCCAGTTTCTACCTGGGGCTCTGAGGGGTCCCTGTGTGGGAGTCTAGGGCTCTGAGGGGTCCCTTTGTGAGAGTTGGGGGGCTCTGAGGGGTCCCTGTGTGGGAGTCTGGGGGCTCTGAGCATCCCTGTGTGGGAGTCTGTGGGCTCTGAGGGGTCCCTGTGTGGGAGCCTGTGGGATCTGAGGGGTCCCTGTGTAGGAGTCTGTGGGCTCTGAGGGGTCCCTGTGTCGGAGTCTGGGGGCTCTGAGGGGTCCCAGTGTGGGAGTTGGGGGCTCTGAGGGGTCCCTGTGTGGGAGTTGGGGGCTCTGAGGGTCCCTGTATGGGAGTCTGGGGGCTCTGAGTGTCTCTGTGTGGGAGTCTGGGGGCTCTGAGGGGCCCCTGTGTGGGAGTCTGGGACTCTGAGGGCCCCTGTGTGGGAGTCTGGGGCCTCTGAGGGGCCTCTGTGTGGGAGTCTGGGGACTCTGAGGGGCCCCTGTGTGGGAGTCTGGGGCTCTGAGGGGCCCCTGTGTGGGAGTCTGGGGCCTCTGAGGGGTCCCTGTGTGGGAGTCTGGGGGCTCTGAGGGGCCCCTGTGTGGGAGTCTGAGGGGTCCCTGTGTGGGATTCTGAGGGGTCCCTGTGTGGGAGTCTGGGGCTCTGAGGGGCCCCTGTGTGGGAGTCTGGGGCTCTGAGGGGTCCCTGTGTGGGAGTCTGGGGGCTCTGAGGGGCCCCTGTGTGGGAGTCTGAGGGGTCCCTGTGTGGGATTCTGAGGGGTCCCTGTGTGGGAGTCTGGGGCTCTGAGGGGCCCCTGTGTGGGAGTCTGGGGGCTCTGAGGGGTCCCTTTGTGGGAATCTGGGGGCTCTGAGGGGTCCCTGGATAGTGGAGGTCTGAGGGTCCTGGGAGAGACTTGGGTCTCTGAGCAGTCCCTCGAGGTTTCTGAGGGCTCCTTGGGTGAGTCTTGGAGGCTCTGAGGGAGGTGAGTCCTGGTGGGAGGTGGCGAGTCTGAGTCTTTCTCTGAAACTCTGTCCTGGAGACACGGCCCAGGGAGCTGAGGTGGGTGTCGGCCCCACCTTCTGGGTGTCACTTTCTCCCCCCAAACCCAGTCCTTCCTCAGGCTGCCTGTGGTCTTCACTCCACTGTGGGGCCGGGTGTTTCCTCTGCTGCTCTGCCATGCGCTGAGGGGGCTGGGCTGAGGCCTCAGAGCTCTGGCGGTGGAGGCTGCCACAGCAGGGACCCTGCCTAGCTGGACACAGGACACAGGGCATGTGCAGAGTCCTGAGTTCTGGAGGAGGGCTGGGACTCCCAGTGGAGGGCAGGGGTCCCCCATCAGAAGGTAGAAGACGTCCGTGTGGAGGGAGGAGCCCCCTGGGGAGGTCAGGGTACCATTGTGGGGAGGGTGGGGACTCTCTTGGGGAGGGCGGGGACCCACATGCGAAGGGCGAGGACCCCAATCAGAGCTGAGGAGGCATCATTGGGTCCCTCTGACACCTGCTTTGAGCCTCACGAGTCCCCCGAGTGCTGATGGCCCCTGGTGCCTCAAAGCAGGAGGGGCAGCGTGGGGATGGGGCGCCCAGCTGAGGCCACGCCGCCTCTCCGAGGCTGCCCTACTATTCTTCCCCTCCGTGGATATCCGAGTGCTGCCCATGGCGTGCTCTCCGGCTCGGCCCCTGCTGCCGTGTCGAGTCCAGCTGCCAGGCCCTGTTCTGGGAACAGCCCTTCACTGCTAACGGCCTTTGCTTTGTCCCCTGCAGCCCCCCGAGGCAGCGTGGACAGCGCTTCCCCGAGACAGGTGAGTGGCCGCCTCCAGAGCCAGCCCAGGGCAGGGTTGGAGAGCCCAGAGGGCACGTGGCACAGGGTGGGCCCTTCTGCCGGCTGGAACCGGTTCGCAAGAGCCTGTCAACTCTGCGTGCGCTCAGCCCTCGGAGCCTTTGCTGTTTGACTTGCCAATGATGCGATGTTCCGAGGCGCCTGTGGTGGCCAGGGCCGTGTCCTCCGTGTCCCTGTCCCCATGTGGACAGCTGCGGTCTCTCGGTGGTCCGGGCCAAGCTCCCAGCTCCGACTGTTTGCAGAGGCTGAGCTGGAGGGGGCTGAGCTCCCTGCAGGGGAGCCGGGATGGGGAGGCAGGAAGGGGCTCCACCACCACGCAGGCCGCACCCAGCTGGGCTGGCAGGAGCCGTGAGCCTCGGGGAGGACTTGGGTGTGAGCGGGGCTCAGGGAGGGCTGGACCTGACTAGCTTTGTGTCCGAAGGAGCCAAGAGTGGGATGTGAAGGATTCTAGAATCTGTTTGTCGGAACGGGGCATTTCAGAGGTTCTCCCATGGCCCGTGCCGGTCCTGGGCCGTAAACATGGCTAAGCCTCCCAGAACACGCCTGTGCCACGGCGCTGCCCACAGGGGCGCCTGGGGCCGGCTCTGCTGCTCTCAACAGAGTTTTGCCTGGGAGAGGGTAGGAGTGCCCGCAAGTGCTCTTCGGGTTTCCCTGTTAATCCTCCCCTGTTTAAAGTCAGATTTTCCCGGTTGGCTACTGAGCCTCCTCCAGCAGGCAGGCTCGGGCTGCCTCCCTCTGACTCCCCCTGACTCCTCCTCTCTCCTCTTTCAGCCCAGGAAGCAAGGCTGAGCGCTCCCAGGGCTCCCGGTGTGTGGGCGACAATCACCAAAACGCAATTAAAAACCCAAACCAAAAACATAGTATTTGCACTCTGTACTTCAAATGTAAATCCACTTTGTAGGAGCGAGATATTTAACAGACTGATGGGATCTGTGAGCGGAGCCCGGCTTCAGCGCGTGGTCACGTCGATGCCTGTGTCCCGGAGCTTCTAGGACTCGCCGAAGGCGCATCTGGACAGAAGCTGCCTCTGTGCTCTGTGTCACCTCGGGGCCTCGGATGAGCTCAGCCCTCAGGGCGCTGCGTTGGTCCCATGCTGCCCCCCCCCCCCCCCGCCCAGGGGAGCAGGCTCACCCTGCCCACCCACCCGCAAAGGGGAAGCCCTAACAGCACCCTGGCACAGAGACCCTCTTTGGGGGTCTGCTTTGCCATCTCAAGCTTCTGTTTGAGTTGCGCTGGGCGCTCAGAGAGGCCCCGCGGAGACAGGAAACCCGAACGTCCCTGACGGTGCCAGGCCGGCTCCAGGGCGCCCCGTCTGCTCTCTGTCCTGCCCTTTGAGCCCTGAGCAGCCCCTCGAGCCCTTAGCCCTGAAACTGGGATGGGACCTGGCAGTGGCCTCGTCCAGAGCCGGAAGCCCACTGCGACCCTCTGTGCTGAGCGCTCCTGGCACAGGGCCCCCATGGGGAGACGGGCTGGGTGGGCCCCAGGGACAGGGGTGCAGCTGACCCCTGCCGGCTGAGCTTGTCAACGGCGGCCCTAAGGGCCCTGTCTGGTTGGCTGCCCTCTGCCCGTAGCCCGCAGGTGACCTTGCAAGGGCATTTGCAGATTTGCCCGCAGCTGCTTCCTTCGCTAAACTGCAGGAAAAGTCCAGTGTTGGGGCAGGAGCGAGTGTGTGTCCCATGGAAGCTAGGCTGGGCCCAGCCCTGACGACTTCTGAGACCTCGGGCCTTGACTGAAGTCTGGTTGGGTTGAAATAAACGATGCTGTCGAGTCCGCACTCAGTCTCGTGTTTCCGGCAGTGCAAAGGCGGCTACCACGCATCGCTTGGCTGCGCCCTGGGCTGCCCCAGGATGGGCGTGGATGTGTACAAGCTGCCTTGTGTCCTGCCTGGCTGGTGGGCGGGTGCAGCAGAGGGGAGCTGCCATGCGCAGAGGGCACCCCTGCAGCCACGAGAGCAGCAGTGAGTGCTGTCCCGGGCCTCGCGGGCACCTGCGGCCTCCTCTCTCCAGCTCAGCATCTGCCCCGGCTTGGGGTCCTCCCACTCGGGGAACATGGGTCCAAATTGGCCTCCCTTCTGCTGGCTTCCCTCCTGCACAGACCTTCCTCCACTCACACGGCGGGCCAGTGGGCATCATCTGAGCACATGTGGCCAGGACCCTGTGGGAAAGACGGCTGGGAGAAGTGTGTGGGCACCTCTTGGTTTCAGGCTGGGAACAGAGTCTGAAGGAGATGGTTCCAACTTGAGTGTTTGTGTCTCAGACTGAAAGAGAACATCACCCCTGTGGGCCCGGCAGAGCCACGTACTGTGACACATGCCCCCAACCCGCCCACCTGCCTGCACCCTATCAGCTTATCCGAGTTGGAGGTTGGAGAACTTCCCTGGAAAACTCATATCAGGCTCTCAGATGTCGCACCCAGATGTTTTTCAAGTTGTCAAGATGAACTGTGTGGGCTTTCATTGGGACCCGTGTGCAGAAGTGGCCAATATGATTGGAACTGCCAAGTAGTCCAGTGAGCAAAGCACCACACGATGGCAGGAAGGAGAAGAGAAATAGCATTAACCCAGGAGCCTGCAGTGTGGTGCTGGGGTCCTGTGAATGGAGGTGACTGTGAGGGCAGACAGGGAAATGGTGGAGATGAGGGTAGGGATGGTGAGGGTGGTCACTGTGGTGGCTGGTCATTATGCCGGAGATACAGGTGATGCTTACAATGGTGATGACATCATGGGGGCAAGAATGTTTTTTTCCTATTTTTTGCACACTGCTAAATAATATTAGAAAAGCATTTTCACTAATTGGGCGTATGGCCATTTGGGGAGTTTGTTTATTTTGAACAGTTGTAGTAGAGATCTCTCATTTTGATGCTAGGACCAGAAAACCCACATTTAGGCATAGTCTGGGCTCGGTGTTACTGGGGCTTCATCCTTTCACAGGCCTCCCCACAGAACCCTCGACCCAAGTATCCCCATAGTCCTATGGCACAGGCCCCGACTCAGAACCCCCAACATAGTCTACCCACAGAGTCCTTGGCTCAGGACTCCCCTGAAGCAGCAACACAGGCATCTCCTCAGACACTCAGGGGGAAGATCTCTCTTCAAACCCCTGACTCAGGTCACTGATCAGACCCCAGACACACAAACTTGCCTCAGATCCCTGACACAGACCAACCCCCAGAACCCTTAACACATGTCTGTCTTCAACCCCCCAGATATGTCTCCCCTCAGACCTGAAGCAACCCGCCCAGGCCTCTGACTTAGGCCTCCTGTCAGACTCTTAACATAGGCCTCCCCTGAGTCTCTCCTGAGATTTCCCAAGTCATGTTTCCCCTCAGATACTTTACAAGGCTTTCCCTCAGGGCCCCAATATAGCCTTATCTTTTTTGGGGGGGTCACACCTGGTGATGTACAGGGGTTACTCCTGACTCTGTACTAGGACAGTGCTCAGAGAACCATATGGGATACTGGGAATCAAACCTGGGTCGGCCGCATGCAAAGCAAGTGCCTTACCTGCTGTGTTATCGCTCCAGCCCCAATATAGCCTTATCTTAAGACTCCATGACCAACTCATCCCTCAGACCCAAACACAGGCCTTGCCTCACCAGACACAGACTCCCTTCACATCCTCTACACAGGCCTCCCCTCTGACCCCATGACAAAAGTTTCCTCAGGACCCTGACACAGCCTCCCCACAGGCATACTACACTGGCCTCCCCTCACACCCTTGACACTGACCTCTCCTCAGACCCCTGATCCAAGTTCCCTTTCTCACTGCCCAACTCATGTCTCTGTTCAGATCTCTGACACAGGCCTCCCCTCAGACCTCCCACACAGGTTTCCCCAAAGATACCCAATGCAGGCCTCCTTTCAGAATGCTGGACCCAAGTTCCTCAGACTCCTGACTCATTTCTCTTCTCAGATCCCAGACACAGGACTCCCCTCAGACTCCTGACAGAAGCCTCCCCTCTACTCTCCACTCCAAACCTCCCCTTAAACCCCTGATACAGCTTTCCTTCAGAAACCTGACACAGAGCTCTGCTTTGATCCCACGATACAAATTTCCCTTGAGTCCCCAACAGAGGCCTCCCCTCAGACGCTTTATAAAGGCATCCCCACAGACCCGTACCATAGTTTCCCCCTTAGATCCCAGAAACAGGCCTCCAGTCACATCCCTGACCCCCCAGTGCAAATTTCCCCTCCCAATACCCAGTTCAAGTCTCCCCTCAGACCCCTGATGGAGTCCCTCTCAGAAGCCTGACCCAATTCTCTTCTCCGAACCTGGTCACAGTCCTCCCCTCAGACCCTCTTCACAGGCTTCCCCTCAGACTCCCTACACAGGTCTCCCTTCTGATCCCCTGATACAAGTCTCCCCTTAGACATCTGCCTTGACACATGCCTCCCCGCAGGCCCCTTACACAAGCCTCCCCATTGACCCCTGTGACACAGCCTTCTCTGACCCCAGGACACAGTCCTCCCCTCAAAGACCCCAAGACAAGTCTTCCCTCGTATACTCTACTAAGGCATCTCCTCAGACACTCCTCAGACCCCTGACACAGGCCTCCTCTCAGGCCCTCAAATCAAGATTCACCTCCCGCTGCCCAACTCATGTCTCCCATCAGATCGCAAAAACAGGCCTCAAACCTATAGCCCAGTCTCCCTCCGTACCCAGTTCATTTCTTCTCAGATTTCCTAGGCCTCCCTTCAGATTCTCTGACATAGGTCTTGCCTCAGTCCCCACCCCCAGTCTCCCCTGGGGCCCCTATCAAAGTCTCTCCTCTGCATACACCCTCCACCGGACTCTCCTCAGACTCCTCAGCAGACCCTCCCCTCAGACCCTGACACATTCCCCTTCAGACCCCATCGAAGGGCGCTCAGAGTGCTCATGCCCTAATATGCGCATGTGAGGGGTGGCAGCCATCTTATGCAAATGAGACCTCTCGGGGGACCAATCACATGCCAGATGTCAACCAGCTGGCCCTCCCCCCAGCTCGCCCTCCGCCTACGGCCCTGTAAGACTCAGTACCTCAGTACCTCAGGGCTCGGGCCGAGCTGTCTCCGGAAGATTCCTCTGTGGGTGGGCGAGCTTTGGTCTGACAGGCCTCGGGCCTCCCTCCCCAGGGCCCAGTGGCAGGGGCTGTCCAGGAGCCGGACTGTGGGAGGCAGACTGAGGAACCCCCCATGGCAGCGGGCTGTGGGGCCCGCCTGGCCCGAGAGCAGGACCCTGAGTGTGTGGCGCTCACAGGCCGGCTGGAGGGTGACCCGAGCCCGTCCCTGCGGCCAGCTGAGGCGTGGTGGCGGCTGCTGCTTTCTGCTGCGCCACCCTACTGTCCGCTTCTCAGTGCCCAGCACCAACCTGGGCCCTTGGAGCACAGGCCTGAGGGACGGTTGGGTTGAGGCAAAGCTGCAGCTGGATTCGGCTGCAGCTGGAGGGAGGCCTGAACGCAGCCTCCCGGGCCTGTTCTCGAGAAAGCGGCATGTGGGCCCTGTCCACCAGGCTGCCCACTGGGCCTGCACATGCCCCGAGCTTCACTGTCTGTATCCAGTATCAGACGACCCAGAGACTCAGGGCCGCTGTGGCTGGGGTGCGGGCACCCTCTGTACTGAGTGTGTGCTACAGACTCCAGCTCTCTGGGAAGTGCTCCCTGCTGCCCTGCTGTGCTCCTGCCCAGAGATGAGCCGACCAGACACAAGCTGAAGCTGAAAGGGCCACCCAGAGCAGGAGGGAGCATTAGAAGTTTCTGGAATTCTGAGCCACAGGGGACGCCGGTTGTCAGTCAGCACCTTGCAGCCCATGCCCCCCAGAATGATTTACTCAGGCAGGATTTTGGGGTCCCTCGCGTCCAGCAGCTGCTCTGGAGTGAGTTGATGTCAATCTCTGTCCTGGGGCAGGTCTGGGCCCATGGTCCCTGGGACCCCCTGCGTGAGGCATGTGGTGCTGGAGTTCGAGCTTCAGGTCCTGCTCAGAACCTGTGGCCAAGGTCGTGCTGCCCTTCCCCAAGTTCTCAGTGGGGACTGCCTTCGGGCTGTGCTCGAAGGGGCAACATGTCCGTACCTTTGGGGACACGGGTTT